CGAAACGAAAGGCCAACATTCACAGAAATCCAAAACAGGTGGCTGATCGAAAGCATCAAAGAAATCTGAGATATAAGAAGAATCTCTCAGAGAGAAAACATTTTTGGAATTCTCAAAATCCTGATTTTGTAAGGATAGAAAGGAAGTACAAATCTCAAGAAGACTCAAGGAATCGAAAGGGAAGTTTCGGTCCCTCGTCAGGAATAAATCAAAAGAGCAGTTTCGGTCCTCATCACAGCACCAACCGAAAGGATGGTTTCGGTCCTTCGACCAATAGGATCCAAAAGGGTGGTTTCGATCCATCGACTGAAAAAATAACCGGAAGGAGAGTTTCGGTCCTTCACCCATTAACAACCGAAAGAACGGTTTCGGTCCCTCGTCCAATAACAACCGAAAGGAGAGTTTCGGTCCCTCATCCCATGGCAACCGAAATAGAGGTTTCGGTTCCCATTCATACAAGTCTAATCAGAAAAACCGGGATTCTAAACTCACTCCTAAATTCAATTCTTCTCATCCGAATTTATGTTCCCCAATTACTTCCAAGGGAAAAGAAAAACTCTACCTTGAAGACAACATCAAAAACTCCAGTCCTTTTAAACCAACAAAAATTAAAGTTTTCACCATTAAAAGAAAAGATGAAATAACTTTAACTAAACACACATACATGGTTGATCTTTCTCTTACTATTCCCTTTCCTGTAAAAGGCTCACAAGGACCCAAGAAACTTTGGGTTCCTAAATCTGCTTAATTTTTTGCAGGTTATAAGTGACGAGCAATTTGACGAAGAATGGTACATCGATAGTGGTTGCTCGTGTCACATGACAGGAAGGAAGGAGGAACTGAGAGAATTTCGTTCTCTCAAAGATGGTGGGATTGTAAAGTACGACAACAACTCTTTTGGAACTATCAAAGGCTATAGAATGATCACTAATGGCGATTTCTCTATAAGGAAGGTAGCTTATGTTGAAGGACTCTAACACAATCTCATCAGTGTATCATAGTTGGTGGTTGGTACTGGATTAAAAGTATCATTCGACGATGAAGGCTCAGGAATTGTCGAGAAGAGATCAAACAATATTTTGTTGAAATCAAAGCGAAAAGGGTAGATGTATCCTTTGAACCTCAATCCAATTAGAGGTAAACCAGCTGTATGCTTACTGACAAAGGCTCACTCTGATGAAAGCTGGTTATGGCATAGAAGACTATCTCATCTGAACTTCAAGGATATCAACAAGTTGGTTTTGGGTGATCACGTTCGAGGTCTTCCAGTTCTAAAATTTGATAAAGAACATCTCTGTGCAGCGTGTGAAATGGGAAAGCAGAGTCGGCAGAGTCATCCTTCTATTATCAATACTAAGGTAATAGAACCATTAGAGTTATTGCATATCGATCTATGTGGTCCATCGTCCATCGAAAGATTATATTGGGGTTGACTAATATGGAGATTACAGTAAGAGGTGTGAGAAAGTTTCATTGTTTTAAGGAAGGAAAATGTTTCATGTGGAGATTATTGGTGAATGATTACTTTTGTGATGGCGATTTGCTCCCATGATAAGATTGCTTTTGTGTATGCTAGTTAAGAGGGAACAACGAGACTCTCGTATATTTTATGATGTTATTATACCTGAAAACAAATTTCCAGTAGTACTAACCTGTGGTAAGGTTTCACATATTTTTATTTCACCTTGTTTATTTAATATAATTTTCAAATACTTAACTCAAATATATTTTTGTATTTATAGATAATTTCTATGTTAATCTAAAGGGATTTTTAGTTCCATAGTGAGAGGTATCATTGTCTTAATTGGCATCATGTTAGTAGAGTTAGATGAAAGAAACAAATTAGTTGACTTTATGCATTCACTTGTTCGCAATGTTAGAGAACGGGCATTTAGTGTTTTTAAAAATAATATAAAAAATTATTTTTCAAAATATATACCAAACTCTATTGATATGTCATGTTGATTTCACATGCATGTTGTAGACGAATGAAAGATATGGTGATGAAAATCTTCAAAAGGGTTTTCTTTTGAATATGATGAATTAGGATGAATTGAAATGCTTCAAGTCGTTAGAGACATTTGTAATCTTGATACCCTTAAAGCGGTAAAAGTTAAATTATTAAAAATGTTAGTTTTTTATGTTGAATGATACATTGGGTTTTATAAAAATGTTGATTAGTATATTAAATTTGTTTCATTTTATGTTTAATATTGTATAGAAGTGTAGAAAATTTATAAAATGTTTTTTTAAAAAGTTTTTAAAAGCTCAATCAATGTTTGTATATGAATTTGTCTTCCCTAATACCTCAAACTTAGAAAGTTCTTAAAGGATAGTTTTTTTTTCTTCTTCATGTTACAAGTAAATAAATAGTCCCAAGTCAAAACTGCAAAAAAATGTGTCAACATTGAGTATATGATTCTGCCATGATTAAGACCACCAACGAAGTCCAACCAGTAAAAGGTAATAGAACCATTGAAGTTATAATATTATTAGAAATCATTTGAAAAATCATGGGAGTTTCAAATGTTTGTTGTGAAAGGAAAATGATTCCTTTATTGGTCCAAATTGATCCAGCCCTGGTTCAACTCAATATACCCAACTACATAATTTTTTTTCTAACTGAAACACGGTTTAAACTTGAAAAAATTCGGTTCAAAACCATTTTTGGAATTCTAAAAGTTAACTGGATACTTGCCAATATAGATAATCTCACCAAATAATACTTTCAAAGTCCTATAAAGGTAGGCATGAGGAAGTTCTCATGGTTTGGTCACTTTGAAACATTTCACAACATTTCCTATTTATAGAAGATGAAACATTATCTTGTTTACTCTCACCATCGATATGGGATGAAAACATTGTAATAAAACACCCTTTCTTGTTTATAGAATATTATTTAACTTATTTATAATATTATTGTAAAGAAATTGAAAAGTCATGAGAGTTTCAAATGAATGTGGTGAAAGGAAGTTAAATAAGGGGGTTTCAAATGCATGAGATTAAAAAAAAATGCTAGCTTTATAAGTATGTATGATAATGATACTAAATTTAAGTTTCCTTAGTAATAGTAACTTTTTTTTGGGTTTAGGTTTTTGTCACCAATGTTTGTTAAATTTGACATTTTTTGTCTTTGAAGTAAAAAGTTTTACATTTTTAAGTTTTGATTAAGTTTTTATATCTTTAGTTTTTTGTCACAAATCTTTAGTGACTTTAACATTTTTCGTCCTTACAGTCTAAAATTTTATATTTTGATGTTTCTGTCATAATTTTTTAGTGACTTTGACACCTCTCAACCTTGAAGTCAAAACTTTTGCATTTTGACATAAAAACACACAAAAAAACAAACTCCTTTAGACGTTTGCCACCATATTTTTCTAACTTTGACAACTTTCAAACTATAGCCACAACACTTTTTATTTTTTTCGATCAATGTTTTTTATTTTGATTGTACACTTTTGACATCTAATTTTAAGGGTTATCGATTTTCTTCTTTATTTATGGCTCATTTCTTTTATTATTGGCCTAGGATAGAAGCAGATGTCCAACGGTGATTTGTTGTGTGTGCTTAATGTAGCCAATGGCGGAGCCACAGTGTAATAAGGGGGTCCATGGACCCCACTTGAAAGTTGATATTAACCACTTTTACTAAAATAACCCTTAGCAAATTCATGGTTTCATGAAATTATCCTTTTTGGCACCCATTTTTGCTGAAAAACAACCCTTAAAAAATTATTTTTTTTACTGAAATTATCCCTTTGGCACCCACTTTTGCTGAAAAAACATATTTTTGTAATACTTTTAACAAAAAAACTCCCAAAGAAACCTCAAAATTTCAGATTTTTTTTCTAAGTTCAAATTTGTGTTTAATTTTCATATAATATGGACACTAGTAATATTTTTTTTTGGATCCACCACTATATGCAGCATTGTCTTTCCTTGATGATTCAAATCAATAAGACAAAGAGTTACTAATAACTATGCAACATTGTCTTTCCTTGATGACTCAAATCAATAAGAAAAAGAGTTACTAATTGCTGTAGTTAGGGCCTTTGCCAAAGAAGAAAGACTAACTTTTCCGATTTCTGCTCTAGAGCCGAGAGAAGAATGCACACTGCCTTGCCTATCCTGCCTAAAGAAATTCTAAGATGTCCCTTGCATTATTACAACCTTCTTTTTTGATATCAAAGATCAGAAGCTACGTGAAAATTATATACACTTTCAACATATCTTTTAAAGTTTGCCGATTTTCAACTTCTATGACATAGTCCAAAAGCGACGAAGCTGCGTGTCCTTCTCTAATTTATACTTAAAAAGTGTTTGTTATAAGTTTACAACTACTTAAAGATTATTTGTTATAAGTTTACATTAGTACATAAACGTCTTTATATGAGATTCTCTAGATATAACACACGATCCAATTTAAAATATTAGATTTTCTATATTGCGTCAATAAAAATGTCAACAAATAAATTTTCTTAAGATATTTACATCATAAACAGCCAACTTAATAACCACTCAAGTGGCTATCTATCCTAGTTGTCGACATAAGAGATTCTATATGTTATGACTATTTTGGAGGTATATACTAGTAACATGTTAGGGTGTTACATGTGTGTTAGCTCTCATATATAACTTATTTTATTTTATAAATATATTTTAATTATATATAATATTTTAATATTTTGAAAATGTATTTAAGTTAATTTATTACCTTAATTTACAAATATTTAAATCCAAATTTTGTTATATTAATCGCCACCTTAGTGCCTTACCTACAAAATAAAAAATTATACAGATAAATGAACATGTCAGTTTTCTAGTCATAAATAATAAATGAGATGCCTACAATAAGAAAATAATCATTTGTTTAATAAAATCGGATAAGATGTACACAAATCAATATAGTCTTCTAAAAATATCTTATCTCATTTTATTTATATCATTTAATTCACATATAAATAAATAACTTGATAAAAAAGAAAACATAAATTTTCGTCGACATCGAAAATAAAATAAATCGTATATTAATTTTATTTTCGCAATCCATGCCCTTTACTTTCAACAAACTTCACTTTCAAGCCCGCGAAGACGAATTCGAAGAGTAACAACCATATCAGAATCTGAGAAAGCTTAATCATCCATACAATCAGAAAAGCTTTTCCAAAAATGGCGTTAATCTGTTCATTTGAAAGAACCTATTTCCAGAACTAATTGCAATGTTTATAACCGACTTTATTAAGCGCAAGTTAGAATCAGTGTTGCAACCATGGCTGCTGCAAGAACCGGAGTTGGAACTCAAGTTAGGGTTTCTTCGTTGTTATGGAATCGCCAAGAGCCTCCGCTTCAATACTTCAGCACTGAACGAGCTTCTAGACGATTCTACTGGCTTTTACTTCACCGACTTCAGAATTGATCAATTGACCCTCCGGATTACCAACTGGTCAGCTCCTGCATTCAATTGGGAAGTTCAAGGTTTCCATATCACTATATCGCCGAGGTATGCTATATACAAATGTTTGTTTATGTATTCATTTTCACTTATGTAGTTTGGATTGTTTTCGTTTTTTTGTTCATTTATTTTCGCAATGTCGCTTGACGTGGAAGGATAGTGGAGGGGAGGGGAAGCAGCCGGGAACCATCGGAGGTGTTGTTGGAGGACAGGAAGAAGGCTCTACGTGAAATTGACCCTGAGGTATTTCGTTTAAAGTTCTGAATTTGGTCTCTATTCCATAGCTTTTATCATATCGTCTAATGACTTTCTGATGGATCACAGGGTAGTGAATTGTTTGATATCATTGAAAAGCTTGCGAATATTTCCCCATCAAGGAGCCAGAAAACTTCCCTCCCAAAGCTTATCCTGAATTATTGTTCCTTACAGATGACTGATATCTATCTACAACTGCAACATGCCATCTCAGATGACTCCATTGCATGCTTGTTGGAGATAGAGGAGCTCAATGCAGGCTCTCGACTTGTCAAACCTCAATCTTTCCTCAGAGGGTACGTCAATTCACTTATTGTAAATCCTAAAGAGAGCTATTTCGATCTTGAAATCAGAGGTTTAAAGATAAGGTTGAAGAGCCATGATCATTTTAGCCCAGTGTTTTCTGCAACCGACATCATCTGTTCCTCAAAGTTGAGTGATCTTCAGTTGATTGAGCTCAATTGTTCAATTGAGGAATTACTGTTTTCATTTTCTCCAGCAGATATCTCCGTTTTAGCAATTATTGTGAGGGAATCATCAAGAAAATCCCCATCAATAAGAAACGGAAGACAACTCTGGAAAGAAACTGCAACCAGAATTCGGTCATTGATCTCAACACGTAGATATTCAATGCAGAAATTAGTTGGTGTAGTTATCCTATGGTTGCGTTACGTACATGCCTGGGAGAATTTGTTTTCACTGATCGGATATTATCCTATGGACATAATGATAAAAAGATCAGCTGTAAAGATGTCCAAAAACCAGATGTTTTCAAAAACTTTTAGGCATCAATGGGAAGTAATTTCTGAAATTGAGAAAGAAATACCTGCTCCAGCTATTGCACTTGCACGTCGAGTCATCAGATGCAGAAAAGTCAACCATGGTGTTTCAAGCAATGAGGAGGTTCAAATCAATAGGTACTTGGAGTATTTTCAAAAGATAGTCCAATTACTTTGTCTTATATGGACTACTTTGTGTAGCATGTTTAACACAAAAAAAGTGGGAGTTCTTCCAATAGATTCCTTCCCAAATCTTTGTTACAGACTAAACTTGGGAAAAATTTCCATCACCATTTCCCCTGATAACAACACTAAACATAAAAAAGCTGTTACAGACAGGAGGGTTTCACCTTCACACCTGGATCTACTTTCTTTCTGTTTAATATTTGATTCATTTATCCTTCTTTACAACGAAAATATCTGTGAGAGTCATTTGACTTTCTCCTGTGGGGGTGTCAAGGTTATAAATGACTATGAATATTCTTCTAAAGGACACAAGAAGCCTAAAGTTCTAGACTCAGAAGCTATCTTATGGAGTAAGCCTGCTCTTGTTTTTAACCAAGATAGAATTTCTGCCTCCCTCCCACTTCTGGAAACCATTTTAAATCAAACATGGTTGGATTGGAAGACATCTTGTGCAGAATTTGGTGAAATTACGAATGAGACCTTGAAAGATCCCTTCATTCTCTTTGAGATGAAGCATTTTTTGACAGATCAGGGGGAGAGTAGCTTGAGTCATCGATTTACAAAATGTTGTTTGGCAATGGGGCAATTGGATTTCTTTTTGGGATATTCATCAGCATTATCGTTGACTCTACTTCTTAGGCAGATACAAAATGCTTTCAGTTTCGAGAAAGTACAAACTTCTACTCCAACATTTGAGGCTCCATTAGTGAAAGTCTGGGATTGTGATTCATGTATTGCTGAAATGGAAAAGGAACTGCATAAAGTAATACCAGAAAAGCTTATTGAAGTTGGAGTATATGTAGTTGGTCCTCGAATCCGAGTATCACTGAGAAAGGATAGTTTGCATAAAGCAGTTGATGATATTCACCTTTCTTTTGATTGTAAAAACATTGAACTCTTGGTGTCACCGAGTCTATTAAATGATTCAGCAACAGAGTGCATGCATATGATGGAGCTTCAAGTGGTTAACATGGCTAATTCCAATAATGGAAGCTACCAGTGTCAAGGGCAAATAAGGCTTGATGCGTCTTTAAAAATTCATGGTATAAATGTTTACCTTGATGACTCATCTGAAGTCCAACACTCCAAGATTATAACATTAAAGCCAATAACAGTTCAACTTTCAACACTAAGGTATGGCACACTTCGTTCTTGTTTTTCATTAATTTTTGGGTGTCATTGTGCTTTATTTTTTATTAACTTTACTTTCTGTTGTATGACAGGAAGGATAATTGGTCTCTTGGAAAAAGTGTAAGTGCTTTCTCTGCAGTCCTAAATGGGAATGCTTCAGGGCTCTCTGGTCTAATATTTGTTGATGAAATGTCTGTTTTAGTCGAGGTGATTTCCCCTTCATCTTCTTATTTTTCTTCTTCTTCTTCTTCTTCTTCTTCCCTGATATCTTAATTTTTCCTGTAACACCTACAATTTCTTCACTTTTCCATGATTGCTTATAACAACTTTGAACATTTTCTCTGAATTGAATAGAACTTTTTGTTTCTGTGATGAATTATGTTGACTCACTCGATGTTTTTTGTGTGACAGGTGGTTAATAGTTTGATCTTTGCTCTATCAAACACATTGATCACAAGCAACACATCTACTTTTAGAAATTCTAATTATTTTGATACTCAAGAGATATTGGATGTTAGTTCTGGAAATGAGATGCTGATGAGTTCAATTACTGGAATGCCCTTGATCATTCTGAACACTCTCTATATTCTTAAATGCACATCTGAAATCCAGTCAGTGGATATAGTCATTCACAAGTCAAGGAAAGTCAACGCCATAGAGAATCAAGTCACAATCTCCGAATCCTTTATGAGCCAGAATCTGTCTGCAAACTTCTTGCCTGATAATGGAATTCAGATTACTCTGCAGAAAAAGCATATGATGCTCTCATACAAAAAAAACCAAGGGAAAATACAAGGGGTTGTTGATTTCCTTGGTTTACGAGCTGTTATTTTCAGATATGCAAATGATGATGTCATGAATAGGTCTGATCTCCATAATCAGTTAGAGGATATATGTGAATCCTCAGTTTCCAATTGCAAATTGAATTTATCTTTGACAAATCTTCCCAATGAATCATCATTATCCCACAGAGCAATTGGTAGTTCTACTTCTATTTCAAATACTTGTTTCAAAGCAGAAGTTTCCTCCACTGAACTTTATGTGGTAGGATGCCCTTTAAAGGATGTAATAACTGGAAAACATGAGTCAAGTAAGCTTGAGATATCACTTTCTGTTGAGGGTGGCTTTCAGAAAAGCATCTCTTGCCATTGTCAGGTGCCATTCTCATGACTTACTTCTATCCTTTTCTCTCACATTTGACTTTAATATCACTTTTTTTGTCTACTATGTTGATAAAATGGAAGAGTTACTTTATCATGATGTTGCTGACATGGACTTGACAGGGTGGCATTATCTTCCTTGAAACCACATCAGCTGTGATGTTCTCTCAATGTGGAGATTCATACATACGTCGTGTCAAACATCTATTTCCAGTTTCCCATATTGCAAATGTCACTACACTTGAAGCCTCTCCAATCCAAGAGTCACAAACTGCAGGCATACCTGAAGATCTTACCATGCATCTCTCTCAGTTTTATCTTGCCTTAATTGGTAGAGATGAATCTGGTACCTCTCTCTCTCTCTCTCTCTCTCTCATGTTTTCATATTTTACAAATATAGGCTTAACATGTTTTGGTGATGGATGCTGTGCAGGAAGACTTGAAGAGCTTCTGTTTAGTGCTGACATGGGTTTGGACCTTAAAGTTGTGAATATGAAGAAAAAGTTATCATTTCGTCTTCCTCAATTGTCAATTCTTTCTCGAGTTCTTCAAGACTCTATCAAACATCAAAACAGTAGAGTTCAGATTCCTCTTAGGTCTTCTAGCACAGATCCATCTATCATTCAAGCAGCATTACTTCCAACAAATGATATTCATTCTGTAGCAAATGATGCAAGCAGCTCCACTTCTGATTCGCGTATAGAACTATCCAGTGAAGATTCTCATCAAGATTCTGAAAACTACATTTTGAGACAGTTATCTTGTTTCATAGCAGCTGAAGAGCCTGTAGCAAGGGACTCTTCTGATACATCAAAATCAACTCAACCTTGGGTTGGCAGTGGTTCTATTTCAGGTTTTGATGTGACAATATCATTGTCTGAGATTCAGGTGAGAATTCAATTATGCATCTTTTTTATTTAAAAAATTAGAGAAGTTACAGTAGCCTTTTTTACTTTAACCTGATGCTTATATGGCATATGCTATTGTGTCTCCAGATGTTGCTTTCAGTTGCTGAGATTTCTGGGGTCTCCACAAAAGAAACAACTTCCACAGTGCAACAAAGGCAATTGCATAACGAAGAGGAACCCATGAGAAACCTGGAGGAGATGATCCAAGATGGTATTTTTTTTTTCTTTTTCTTATTGTAGTTCACAAGTTTATTAGTTATTAGTTATTACCAGAAACTCCATTGACAAGTTTTGTGCTTCATACATTATAGGCAGTATCATTGCAATCCAAGATGTCCATCAGCATATGTATATTGTGGCAGAAGGTGAAGATAGAAATTATCGTTTGTCTGGTTCAATGCATTATTCACTTGCACCACAGATGGCTCTTTTCAAGGTTTGTAGTTGACTAATTATGACATGAACAAGTTAACAGCATCACTCTATTGATTCTATTAATGAAAAATTGAACCCTTTTTCATTCAGGTGAAGTATCATTACCAAAAAATATGGAAGTCATCATACCAATGGTTTTCATTGACCTCATTGTATGCCAAAGATGAATCAGGGGAACACCTGCAATTAAACTGTAATCCCAGATCAAATTTTGTTGAGCTTTCCAGCTCAAGTAACAGTGGAACATCACTTTGGAGATCAATGCCTTGCAAATCTGCAAGTTTTGAAGATGATAGTGAGCTGGAGTCCTACAACAATTCAGAAAAAAACCTATTTTACTTGATCAACAAGAAGAACAATTGTTCTATAGCTTTTGTTGAAGGGGTTCTAGAGTTTGTAAGCATACCTGGAAATCCATTCAAGTTTAAAGTATTTCAGGATCTTTCCCTTGCCCATGATCCATTATTGCTGGATGAAGGAAACTCAGTTTCACCCTTTATTGATATCAAGATTGACAAAATTTCTGTGACAATATATCATGAGCTTTCAGATACAATCGAAAGGGTCCCACTTCTCCAGATGTCTATGGTTGTTCCTGAATTTATAATACAGAAATCACATGCTAAAACCAGGGTGATAACCAAACTTGTAACTGAGCTATACTCGTTTGATGCAAAGAGGAACTTATGGTATGTGTTTATATTATTTTTGCAAACATATATTCAGAACTATTTTCTTATTTAGCATTCGAATACAGGAACACGTTTCTGCATCCAGTTGAAATAAACATTTTCTGGAGATCTAGGGTTCAAACCCATGGTGTTTATGGAGTGCCTGTTCATTTCTATGCTAGAATTAAAGAGGTAGGCATAATGATTACATAATATTTTGCATTATATTATGGCATACTGAGGTATTATCATATTGTGGATTAACAGTTTCGTGTATCAATAATTGAGCTTTCACTGGACATACTTCTGTTTGTGATTGGAAAACTGGATTTGGCTGGTCCTTATGCAATTCAAAGCTCTGTGATTCTGGGAAATTCCTGCAAGGTGTATAATAATTACATAATATAATGAGTTTCTCTCTCTTTATATGTATCCAAACATGCATTTTATGGTATGAGATCTTTAACATGAAATTATGTTGTTTTCTAATTGTCAGGTTGAGAATCAATCAGACCTAGTCCTCCTTTGTCAGTTTTCAGATAAACAGTATGCTAGAATAGCCAGAAAACAGTCCACAACTGTTTTCTTAAGGTACTTTTACAGTTTTACTGATTAATTAATTACATTTCCATGGAAAGAAGAGAATATATATATATATATATATATATATATATATATATATATATATATATATGTATTATAAAGTGTTTGGATATATATTACACACTTTCTAACACTGGAAAGAAGAGAACATGGATACCACTGACATGTGTGAATGATAATAAGGAAAGAGGTAGATTCATAGAATGCTATTCTATATATCATGTGTTAATAGGCTTATATACAATCACATATATATTTGACTTTCACTACAAAATTATTGTATTACCAATTTACCCTCATTCAACATTATTTATGTTGTATGTTCTCAGAAACTTGGCTTTAGACCAGCATCCAGACTCAGAAGCATCAAGTGTCTCAATCCAACTTGCAGAGAGAGGAGACTTTTTGACATTTCCAATTAAGTTTTCACTCTTAAAATCTGGAACATTTGCTTGGAGAACACGCATTGTCTCTAAAAATGGTTCGTAGTCACTTTTATAATAATTGTTTGACCAAGTTTGACTTTTATCTCTGATGTATTTCAACAGATTCAAAAGCATTTCCTGGGCCATTCATTATTGTAGACATTTCATGGAAATCTGAGGTATAGTTTCTGTTAATGTTGTTTTTATAAAAGACTACATTTCTCTTAATGTTTCTAATTTCTTGTAGGATGGTTTATCGATTGTTGTCTCTCCCATATTAAAAATCCACAATCAAACTAACTTCCCAATCGAGCTCCGATTTCAAAGGCCTCAACAAGAGGAAACCCACCATGCTTCCTTAGTAGTTAAAGCAGGGGACACCATTGATGATTCCACAGCAGCTTTTGATGCCATAAAAGCTTCTGGTGGATCAAAGAAAGCATTAAGATCTATGAGTGTTGGTAATTTCATATTCTCTTTCAGACCTAAAGTTTCAGAAGACTCTCCAAGTTTCAACAAAATGGAATGGTCTGATGAACTTAAAGGAGGAAAAGCTGCACGTCTCTCTGGATTATTTGATAAAATAAGTTACCATGTACGCAATGCTTTTCCACTCGAATCAGAAAAATCTTCCTTCAGTACAGCTCGTGTTCCTTCAGAATCAAAAACAGGGGAAATCGATGACTTACACTTTTTAATTCAAAGCATCAAAAAAGATGTTCCTATTTTACAACCTGATGGATCAAAAGCTTCAGCAGTTGCACTAGTGGAACAAAAGGAAATCTTTATTCTTCCAACTGTTGAGATTTCTAACCTATTGCAGTTAGAGATACATGTGGTTTTAACTGATAAAGGTAACAACTAACAATCATACCATGAGATGTCGACTTTTTTGACTTTTGACTTTTGACTTTGTTCCAATTTTGATCATGTTGCAGATCGCTATTTGCCCCAAGAGAGTGAAAACATGAGCAAACAGGCAACTATTCCTTGTGGTTCAAGTGTGACTTTATATGCTAACCCTGAGGCAATGTTCTTTAATGTTACCTTAACTGCATTTGGATTAACTTGCAAATCTGTAAATTGTGGTGATTGGGCTAAAAAGTTACTGAAGAAGAAAAAAGGTAATCAAAACTTGGACATGGAGTTAAACTTTGGTGATGGAAGGTATTTTGGTCTTTTAAGTTTGTCATGTGGACATAGGGGCATACTGGAGGTATATATAAATAAATATATATTTCTCTCTTTTTCTATATTGCCAATACAATCCTCCATTTCGAGAGCTGATTCATGTATATTTCTACAGGCTGCCATATATACACCATATACACTCAAGAACAACACTGATTTTGGTTTATTTTGTCTTGCTCCAAATCAGAATCCCTTATCTAGGTACTTGTTTATTAGTATTCACCTTTCAGTTTCACCGCATTTATTTCATTTAACACAATATTTTTATTCAGAAATGAAGTTGAGGAACTTTCTTCTCAAGGATATTCAAAGCTAGGAGCTTTTCTGCCTCCTAAGTCAACAAAATCATGGTTCTTAAGGTAGTAGTTAACTAGTTATCCATTGATACTAACTCTTTAGTCATTTAGAATTGTAAATTAAACTATTTCACACATTCATTCATGTCTTTAGAACAAACAAGGTGTCCCTGAAATTAATGGATGACAAAGCAAATGAAGCTCTGCTAGATTTAGATGCAGTCTCAGGTGTTACAGAGATAAATCTAGAAATGGAAGAAAAACCAGGACTCATATATATTACAAAATTGGGTGTTTCATTACATTCATCAATTAACACACAAACTCCATCACAAGTAGTATCTTTGACTCCAAGATATGTATTACTAAATGAATCAGATGAAGTGATCACTATTCGTCAGTGTAACCTAGAGGTATATATATACACACCCTTTTTCGCTTCTTGTATTATAAAATTATAATATCCATTATATGCTAACATTTTATATTTTGATTAAACTATGAGAAGGATGACGTGGAGTGTACGACAACTGTCAGTAGTAAACAGAGAAAAGCTTTACGACTTTGCAACAAAACAAACAAAAAGAGGGAAACTAGCATTTTTGAGAATTTCATCAGAAAGCATAGAAATGGTGAAGATGATTCATTGCTGTTTATTCAGTTTTCTCCAAATGAAGCTGGATTAGGTTGGTCAGGGCCAATATGTGTTGCTTCAATGGGGAGATTTTTTCTAAAATTTCCAAGATCTATAAAAGAAAAAGAAAACCAAGAAAATACACAAGAGTTTGCTGTTGTGATTGTTTCTGAAGAGAATTCGTCTCTTGTTTTACGCTTCCACAGACCACCTCATATGAATTTGCCTTATAGGGTTGAGAATTGTTTGCGTGATGCATCAATAACTTACTATCAAAAGGTAAGAACATGAATATTGGATTTTTTTTTTTTTTGGATCAAACTTCTTCACATGAAGGACTCAGTTTCAATCATGACTAATGTTTTCAGGGTTCAACAGAACTAGAAACTTTGGGATCTGGAAAGCAAGTTAATTATGTATGGGATGATTTATCTCTTCCTCATAAGCTAGTCATCCAAATAAGTGGTAATTTCTTCTTTCTCATTTCGTGTAACACCCTATTATAAAATACATTTTTTATAATATGATAAGTTAGATTAAACAACCGTATTTATATCTATCTACATAGAGTTTTCCATCATTTAAAGCTGACATAATCCACATTATTCATTACTTTTTCTTTTAACTTAAGAGTATGTAGCTTTTAATTCAACACTTGTATCATCTTGTGAAATTGGATTCATATTTAACTTTAATCCAACATAACGTTATAATTTCTAACAGGAATTTACTCATGCATCAAGCTATCAAGTTAGCCCCAAATGGGTATAAAATAAACCCTAACTTTACTTGACATTACAATTAGTTTCATACATTGAAGGAGGAATCTTCCCTTTAAATCTTGTTATCCTTGCCAATAACCAACATTTACATCTTAATTACAAACATACATCAATCAAGAATCATCTTCATTTTTCAAGCTCCATAAACCCCAATTTCAACAACGAAGTTTAAATGTAGAAGAGTGATTTAGATTCTTCAAGTATTTGATCCCAAGATTTCTAGACATCAAAAATTTTAATGACAAAAATGCATCAAGATTCTTCTTCATTACTCAAGCTCCATTAATCCTAATTTCACCAATAAATGTTCTTTCTTGAATATCATCATCTTTCTTACCCTTGTATTTGTAGATTTGCATCTGCTACGTGAAATTAGCCTGGACAAGGTGCGTGAATGGAAACCGTTGTATAAAGTCAGTCAACGTAGAGCATTAGGGTTAAATTTCCCTTTGGATAAGAAGAAGACAGGAGAAAAGGGTAAAATGTCAAAATTGAGTCACGTAAATGAGATGGATATGGTGAATTTGGGGTATGAAGTTTATGCACATGGCCTCACTAGAGTTCTTAGAATTTGTGAACGTAATGACAGCAGAAAACTAAATAGACAATTCTACCCTGGTGCTAAAATTACATTAAGAGTCTCTAGATTTTCTATCCACTTCAGTGAACGTGCAAAACAGGTTAGTCACACTTTTATTATCAATAAAAAAAAAATGATACACATAAATTAATAATATCAAATTCTAATATTTTCACATATAAATTGGTTACTGAAGGAAGAAGAGTCAGATGAGTCACTTGTCTACACACCAATCATTGTTATGCGGCTTAATAACATCAGTCTGGATTCCATGCTTACTGATCAACAAAGACTGAATCAACTTAGGGTTCAGGTATCAAAGAAACAATAATAAATTACCAAAATGGTCCCTCTTCTTTCTGTTCTTACCATTTTTAGTCCAAAGTTGAAACCTTTCTCCTTGAAATAAGACCAAAATCTGAAAGTACCAGGAATTTTGTGCTAAAAACGATAAAAATTAGAAAGCGTAGGGACTAGTTTTGTAATTTACTCGAGAAATAATTATATATTATTACTACAGTCTGTGAGTGTGGATCAAAAGTGGGTAGGAGCTCCTTTTGCTGCTATGCTTCGAAGACATCAAACTGGATTCTCAGATACATATGACAACATGCTTCGTGTAGTTCTCATTTTGCTTCCATCAAGCTCTAATATCAGACAAATAAAATACTTATCCATTGTTCTTCAGGTAAAACAATATTCTTAGATATTTTTTTTAGTACTATCATCTTTCGTAAAATAATTTTTTCAACTCTTTTGAATATGTAGCCATTTGATTTGAACTTGGATGAGGAAACCCTGATGAAAATTGTCCCTTTCTATAGAACATCACTCAGTGATCCAAATACTCCTAGTCAGCAGTATTACTTTGATCATTTTGAGATACATCCAGTAAAGGTTTTATACTAACCTCCATATATCTCTACTATATCTCTGATTCTTTTTATAAAAAAAAAAAAAATTAAACAACATTGTTTACTTTTCTTGAAGATCATAGCAAGCTTTCTCCCAGGAGATTCGTATTCTAGCTATAATTCAACACAGGAGACAATGAGATCTTTGTTGCACAGTGTGATAAAGGTTTGTCATAAGAATTATAAATCTTATAATTTGTAAGTGGCTAATATTGTTTTTATTTATTTATTTATTAGGTTCCTGAAATAAAAAACAAGACTGTAGAACTGAATGGTGTCCTGGTTACTCATGCATTGATTACTATACGTGAACTTTCTGTCAAGTGTGCACAACATTATTCATGGTGAATCTCATCATATTCTATATTTGAAATTAAAATTGATTTATTTTCTATCTTATTATCTAAATATTACGTTTATTTAGGTATGCCATGCGTGCAATCTATATAGCAAAAGGAAGCCCATTGCTTCCTCCAGCTTTTGCTTCAATTTTTGATGACTTGGCTTCTTCATCCCTTGATGTCTTTTTTGATCCTTCAACTGCTTTGATCAAGCTTCCTGGTCTCACCTTAGGTCTCTCTTAATTTCACTTTTTTACTTTTCACCATTTCTATTGTTATGTTTCAACTTTTATTATTTTCTTATGGATAAATTACAAGAAATAACATGTCAAAATGGTCTGAAACTTTTATATTTTGATCGGAAAAAGCAAAGTTTTAGGGAGTAATTGCTAATATAATGTTTTTTTCTACTTTTTCTTTTTTGTTATTTTAACTATTGTTCAGTGGGTAAATCGACAAAATATAATAGTTTCATGGGTAAATTATTTTACCCTGATATTAAACCAGGGGAACAGGGGAAAATGTTTTTTTTTCCTTAGAAGATCAAAAAAAAGTATAATGGTTTACTCACTACAGAAAATAGTTAAGTGACTAAATCAATAAAATTATAAAAGTACAAATGTTTTATATTTTGTCCTTATTATTTAGTAATTTAAAGTTGTTTTTGGTGAATGCTTGCAGGCACATTCAAGCTACTGAGTAAATACATTGATGGTAAAGGCTTATCTGGCACCAAACGTTATTTAGGTGATCTAGGAAAAACTGTAAGTTCACTTCTTCTTTCTTCTTTTTATTTTATTTATTTATTTTTTTCAGAGCTTCTAAAGTTTATAGTATTTTTGATGTTGCAGGTTAAAACGGCTGGATCAAATATACTGTTTGTTGCTGTGACTGAGATATCAGATTCAGTGCTGAGGGGAGCGGAAACCAGTGGTTTTGATGGAATGGTAACCTTCCTTCCTTTTCTTTTGAAAATAGAGTAAATTACAACTTTGGTCCCTGTGCTATATATATTTTTTGACATGGTCCAAAAACAATTTTTCTTGCTTTTTTGATCCGTGATTTTGTTCTGTTTTGGATTTGGTCCCTACCCATCATGCCGTCCAAAACCAAAGTTTGTAAAATGACCATTTTGCCCTTCATATAGAGGGGCGGCTGTTCATGTATGTTCGTAGATGTTCTTGTGATTCTGTTTTTTTAGGGGGGGGGGGGGGGGGGAGTAAATGATTAAAAACTATTAAAATAGGGGCAAAATAGTCATTTTACATGGGTGTAGACCGCATGAGATTGAGGGGTAGGGACCAAATCCAAAACAAAAAGAATTTACGTGGATTAAAAAAGCAAGAAAAATCGTATTTGGACCATATCCAGGACAAACACTATAGCATAGGGACTAAATATGTAAAATTTAGTGTTCTTATGTTGGAAGTTGAAAGTAAGGTAAAAGGATGACCATATTTTATGTTATGACATATGATGATGCATGTAGTTTGGTGGGTTTCAACAAGGAGTACTGAAACTGGCAATGGAGCCTTCCGTATTGGGTAGTGCTTTTACAGAAGGTGGCCCAGATAGAAAAATTAAGCTTGATCGTAATCCCGGTATTGATGAGGTACCTCATTTTATATTTATTTATTTAATTATTTATTTATGGAAACATGGTTTTTGGTGTTTTATCGGAATATAATATGCTTTGAATTTGACAGTTATATATAGAAGGATATTTGCAAGCTATGCTGGATACATTGTATAAACACGAATATCTCAAAGTCAGAGTCATCGATGAGCAGGTATCAGTAATATTATATCATCATATCATATCATATATCATATGTTAATTTAATTCCATTTAAAAATGTTGTTTTGTATTTTATAGGTTGTTCTAAAGAATCTACCCCCAAACAGTGTTCTGATAGATGAAATTATGGATCATGTGAAGGGTTTCCTCATCAGCAAGGCATTGTTGAAAGGAGACTCTTCTTTCTCTCATCCCTTACATCACCTTCGTGGACAAAATGTAAACTCTACACTCTATTTAATTATTCATTCCTCATCATAATAAATCCCACCCTAAAATTAATACAAATTTATGTCCCACCCCACCTAAAAAGGTGGGACATGATCTCTTGTCCGTGGAAAAGACATAAATGCCCTTCAAAAGCTTGTACGACATCTGATGGTTTTTTTTTTTTTTAGGAATGGAGAATCGGTCCAACGATTTTGACTTTGTGCGAGCATCTGTTTGTGAATTTTGCAATCGGGTGGCTGAGAGAGCAGGCGGGTGATCTGACGGCTAAAATCAATTGGGGGGACAGGTTTAAGGGGGACCCACCAAAAGAAATAGTAAAAGAAGAGGAGAGTAGTAAGATGTCTGTATTGAAATGGGGAGTTGGGAGGTTTGTGTTTGCAGGTATGGTTGCATATATTGATGGAAGGTTATGTCGGTGTATACCTAATCCTGTTGCAAGGCGTATTGTTAGTGGTTTCGTCTTAAGTTTTCTAGACAAAACTCGTGATAAATGATTTTTTTTTTTTTTTTTTGAAATGTATATGAAGAAGATTTACATTAAGAATGTAACCTTGTAAAAATGATGATACTAAATTGAACATCATGTTTTTTTCTATGTTATATTTGCATAGGTTTCAAATGTATATTTATACGATGTCAACGCAATAAAAATTGTTTGTACAAAAGGTGTAAAGTCTAATCTAGCAATCTTGAATTATTTTATTTTATTTATTTGATCTTTTAGATATCAAAAGTAAACTAATCACTCGAGTAAGGAGGTATGGGTATTAAAAAGCTTTTTGCTTTGCATGGAGATGAGGATTCCTTGAAGGCACATTAGCTTTATCAATTAACGTGTTAAGATCATAACAACAATTTATAGAGAAGAGGGTCACTTTGATTTTGCCATAGCTCGAGACTTTTCAAATGTCCCTATGATATCTTACGTTGATTATCGGGTGCTTCTATGTTGCATCCCAACCCCACGCCTAGACCGCTTGACACGGCTCAACGTGATTTTTTGGGTTCTTGGTTCTCTAATGAAGAGATTCGTGATGCGGTTTGGTCTTGTGGTAGTGATCGAGCACCAGGATCAAATGGTTTTTCTTTTCGCTTTGTCAAGAAGTTTTGGGAGATCTGTGATCGAGCACCAGGACCGAATGGTTTTTCTTTTCGCTTTGTCAAGAAGTTTTGGGAGATCTTGAAGGAGGATATTTGCAACTTTGTTGATGAGTTTTTTGACACGGGTGTGATTCCGAACAAGTGTAACTTTTCTTTCATTAATCTTATTCTGAAGTCGGATAGTCCCTCTACTATTAATGAGTATAGGCTGATTAGCCTAATTGGAGTGCAATATAAAATTATTGCAAAACTGTTAGCAATAATTTAGTCCCTATGCTATAGTGTTAGTCCTTGTGATTGATGTTATTGTTAGTCTGGAGCAGTCAACTTTTGTTAAAGGCAGACAAATTCTAGTTGAGCTTTTGATGGTAAACGAAATCATTGACCATTATACGAGGAAGAAGAAAAAGGTTATGATTTTATAGGTAGATTTCGTTAAGGCTTATGACTCGGTTTGCTGGAAGTATTTGATAGATCATGGCTTTTATGGGATTCGATCACAAATGGATAGGATGGATTAAAGCCTGTCTTGAGTCGTCGCGTGCTGCCACTCTAGTCAATGGGAGCCCCACTCAGGAGTTCTTGCTAAAGAAGGGTCTTCGTCAGGGTGACCCTTTGTCTCCTTTTCTTTTTATCTTGGTCATGGAAGGGTTGCATGTTGCTTTAGAGGATGTTGTGGGCTAGGGGTTATTTCGTGGTGTGAATGTGGGTGACGATGGGCTTTATTTATCTCATCTTTTCTATGTAGACTGATGATATATGGTCTATTAGCATGACCTAGACTACTCTAGCACGCCAGTCTATCCTGACGCGCTCCTGCCAGCCCTTCCTATCATTCCCTTGCCAGCCTTGTCTGGCGCTCCATTGCCATCCGTACTGGGGACTCTCCTGTCGGTCTGGCCTGGCCTGGCGCTCTCTTGCCAGCTTTGTCTGATGCTCCCTTACTAGCCGTGCTGGGGACTTTCCTGCCGGCTCGGCTTGACGCTCTCTTGCCAGCCTTTCCTGGTGTGCGTCCGCCAGCCTCGCCTGGGACGCACTCGCCAGCCCTGCTCGGCGCCTCCGGGCGACCTCGCCCAGCTCCTTGCTAGCTGCGCCTCAATTGGGCTGGCCTAAGGCCTGACCTAATCCCCCTTGACCTAATTGTCCACTATAATAGAATAGTACATCCTCCATGAAGGAGGATCTTTTCCCTAGACTCTTCCCCAAGTGGCTCAGCCGCCACACCATACACCGGCCGGGTGGCTCAGCCGCCACCGGTTGCCGTCAACCACCATACACCACCACCAGCACCAAGATGGTCCCCTCTAGCTATGGAGGAGCATATCAGATCTTCTAGCTGATCTAACTTGATCGTCAGAGTCCGCTCCCAGGGCATAGTCCCTGGAGCGGCTTTAACGCATCTCTCTGTTGTGACCTCGCAGATCTATCTACGGCGTAGAAGCACTTTCTCAGAGCAGGTGGTCGGAGCCGATGTCACATCATTTAGCGCCATCCCGGACTCGAACGAGCAGAAATCATCTCGTTCTTGTCTAGATCTGCTCAGATCTGTCGTTTCAGCTAATGTTTTCCTCAAATTTGTTCATTTCTAGCACCATTTGGTTCAGATCCGTTTGGATTTGGCCAAGATTTGTTCAGATCGATTTGGTTCTTGACAAGATCTTTTCAGATCTGTTTAACCATCATTCAGATCTCTCGATCTTCTTAGTCTCGATCTTCTTAGTTCTATGCACCGATCTTTTGATTTGCTTGCTTTTTCGCTCAAATTTTTTGATCTGTTTGAGTTTTCTCGCTTAGATCTTTAGATATGCCTTGTTTGTCTAGATATGTTTTGTTTTAGTTCATCTGAGAAACTCTCAAGTCTTAAAAGACTTTTATCAAATCTCATTTTCATCTATATTTTGATGGATTATTCCGAAAGTTGGAGAGAAAAGAGATTTCTATGAGTTTTTCCCCATCTTTGTTCACATTTTTGAGAACTAGGGCTCATTCCGACACCAGCAAGAATCACCTCTGATTGGGACGAGCAGAATATAGCTAATTTGGTCACAGTCCTTAACTGCTTCTATTGAGTTTCAGGTCTAAGACTTGCAGAAATCGAGTATGTATGGGGTTAGTCTTACTTTACAACAGATGGAAGAGATAGCTGTAGTTATAGGATGTTCGGTTGCTTTTATGCCTTTTTCATATTTGGGTTTACTTGTTGGCTCGAAGATGAATCGTATTGCTAATTGGAAGACGGTAACTCAAAATTTTAGGAAGCGTTTGGCAAATTGGAAAGTCAATTTACTTTTGGTGGGGGGTAGGTTGACTCTCATCAGGTTTGTCCTTAGTAACTTGGGTACGTATTACATGTCTTTGTTCAAAATGCCTGGGATAGTGACCGATTACCTAGAATCGTTGAGATCTCGCTTCTTTTGTGGTGGGAGTAATTCATAGAGGAACATTTCCTGGATTAAATGGGATTTGGTGTTGAACTCCAAGAATAAAGGTGGGTTGGGCATTGGTAGTTTGAAGGCATTTAATATGGCGTTACTTCTTAAATGGAGATGGCGTTTTTATACCGATATAAACTCCATTTGGGTCAAGGTGATTAGGAGTATCCACGGGGTATTGGGTGCTTTTGACCGGATTTGCTCAATCCGAAGGGTGGAGAGGTGTGGGCCAATATGGTGAAGTTGTTTAATAAATTAAATGTTCTCCAAATTATTCCACATTCTTTGTTACGTAAAAAATTTGACAATGGAGGTGATACTCGGTTTTGGATGGACATTTGGCTGGGCAAGGAGAGTCTTAAGGATCGTTTCCCCCGCCTTTACGCGTTGGAGAATCATAAGGATTGTTTGGTTGCTGATAGATGGAGAGTTGATGGTTGGGTTTGGGAGTGGTTTCCATATTTTCGTAAGGGTGGCGTACTGATACGCAACTCAAGGCGTTGGCAGAGATGCTTAGTCATGTTCCCATTGTTGATCAGCAAGATAAATGGAAGTGGGGTATTGGCACGGATGGTACGATTTGTGGTTAGTAACACTAGATGCCATATTGATAGTGTTATCTTACAAAAAGGTCATTCTCTTTCAAGGTGGTGTAGGCTCGTTCCCATTAAGCTAAATGTCCATATTTGGGGAGTGTTGTTGAATAGGATGCCTACTAGAGACAATTTGGAATACATGAATATTGATGTTCCTTCTGTCCTTTGTCCCTTCTGCTCTCTTTAAGTTGAGGATTGCAACCATGTGTTCGTTAATTGTGAGGTGGAAAATGTGAAGGTCTTCAAATGGGTGGATATTCCTTTTCCTCTGTTTGGGAACGTTGATGACCTTATGAGATGGGTGGACTCTATCACACCGAGTCCGGTGAGGAGAAATGTTCTTAAAGTCGTCATTATGACTACGATTTGGGTCATTTGGGATAGGAACAGTGAAGTCTTTCAGACGCATGCCATGAGAAAAAGTCATATATTTGAAAGTATTGTTATTCACTCTTATGATTGGGTTGAGAATAGATGTAGTAAAAGTAACACCACTTGGACTATGTGGTTACAAAATCCTCTTTTATAACAACTCTCTGTAATTGTTCTTTGTTGCTAGCTTCTTGCTAGTATTGTTTTAATATATTAAGTCGTTTTAAAAAAAATAATTTAGGGGACGAAGAACAATATCTCTATTTACAAGAAATACTAATGTCTATTATTCTTTCTAATCATAACGATAATGGGTCTTGGGAGCTTGATACTACGAGGTACTATTTGGTTTCGTTGGCTAGAAAGTATATTAATAATAATAATACTTTAATAGGTTGTGATAATCTAACTAGACGCAACAATCTTGTTTTTATCAAAGTTGATGTTTTGACTTGGAGATTATGATGGAGGGTGCAGACTAAAATTAATTTGGATAAAAGAGGGATTAATATTGAGTTGCTTCTTTGTCCGATAACTGCATTATTATCTTTTTTATTCAAACGGTTAACCATTTCTTGTACAAATTAACTCTTTTATTTATAATCAAACTAGACGAATAACCGTGTTGCGCAGAATACAATAGATAAATATATGTTATTAAAAGTAATTATCTCTTTGTCATTAAATTTGAAATAATAATTTTTGTCATAATGTTAATATGAAACATTGTAATTAAATATATGATAAGATACGTACATAATTAAATCAAATAAGGTGGATAGCCTCTCCTAATAGATTATGCATAAGATAAAAATAATATTAAATTTTGATTTATTTTTAACTGTTTTAATGGTTACTCGATTTGTATATATATATTTTTAGGATCATATCTGATATTTAGCCACATGTTGCATGTATATAAAATTAAATATTATTTGTAGTCATTGTTATGGCTAATTAATTAAAAAAATATTTTGATGTTCGAAGATGATTATTATTTCAAATATTAATCATATTTTTTAGAGAAAATTTTATTATTAATAACTATCTTATTTTAATTAATAAAAAAGTTAATTTTAATTTTTCTATTTATTCAACCGTTTTTAATTGCTTATATATTAGAGTAGTTGTATTAGTTCTCTAACAAATTATTTAGTTATTTAGAAGATTATATGTTTATTAAAAAAGTATTAGGTACATGGTTTTTTTCTCTATAAAAAAAATAGAAACATCGATCTATATTAATATTTTTTATAATTTTCAGAGATGATAATAATAATAATAATAATAATAATAATAATAATAATAATAATAATAATAAATTGTTTATATACAAATTAATCAAAACATATTTATTAGTTGGGTTTAATTGTTTCAGTGAATAAACAATATGCAACTTTATAAACATAATTAAGTTGATTTAAATGTATCTAATAATTTTGACACATTGATGTCATTATTTCAAAGTTTACTTTCAAAATAATAAGTATAGGAATCATTTTTTATAATATATCCAAATGTCAAAACTCATATCCAATAAGCGACCATGAAAAGGTAAAAAACTTTCATGTTTATGTATAGATATTATTTTAAGCTTCAAGGTCCATAATCAAATAAAAAATATAACCTCTATACGATTCTTAATTTTTATAGAAAAAAGTTATAAAATATGCCTTCAACGATTTCGATGCTACAAAAACTCAAGCAAAAAATCACATCAATGCAACTTTGATGCCAACAAAAACTCAAACAACAAATCACATTAATCCAACTTCGATGCCTAGAAAAACTCAAACAAAAAATACACATTAATACATCGAATAAAATAAGACAACAATATGAAATATTACCTCGTCTTTTCAAAAGACAATGTTTTCTTCTTAAGTCGATTCAAATCATTCACACCAAATCTTTTGTTTAATGTATGCTTGATTAAAGTCTTCACGCTTTCTTTGAGTTCACCTGAGCAACCCATCATTTGTTTGGACTCGATAAGTGTGTCAAGAGGTAAAGAAAAATATTTGGAAAAGGAAATCGATAAATTCTTTGGTGGTTTTTGCAAATAAAAGTTTATTTACTATCTTGTTCACTAAAAATGTGGGTGTCATGTTTGGAGAAACCATTGATGGTGTACCACATTGAAGCTTGAAATAAGATTTTATAGTAGTGGGAGATGTTGGGAATTATGATTATCATAAGTTTAAAAACTCTTTGATTGTTTGTTAATTAAAAATTGTGTGGAAGTTTCGTAAGTTCAAAAGTTATTTGATTGTTTGGTGTGAATTAGATGAATGTGAAAAGATAGAAAGGTTCCAAATGCATGTGATGCAATTTATAAGTATATTATATGATAACACAACAATAAGATTTTAAACGGATCGATGAAAGCAAAACCTATGCAAACAAAAGTTTGGGTGTGACCATCTCGACGACTTTTTGCATGTTGTGGATTTTTGGCAATAATATGAGTTTTGGAGAAGTAAAACCTAGAATAACGGTAAAGCAAGCAATCACAAAAAGCAAAAAAAAGACACAAATAATTAGTGTGACATACTTCCACGGATAGGAAGCGAAGATGTTTGGGGAGACCAAGATGGCTGGAGCCAAGTCCGTCGGAGAAAAAACTACGGGAGAGATTACACAATTAATGGTAAGGCTATATCCTTTTACATCCAAAACTTTCCTTCAGATTGGGATGAATCGGCACTGTGGCGGATGTTCAATAGATTCGGAACAGTTGTCGATGTCTACATAGCAAAAAAACTGAACCGTCTCAGAAGAAAATTTGGATTCGTCCGATTTATACGGGTATATGACTGTGCTGCATTCGAAAAACGTCTCAACGAGATATTCATTGGAGCTCAGAAGCTGGAAGCAAATGTCGCAAGATACCAAAGGACTGACAACTTGAACCACGTCAAAAATCACCATCCCATTAGCAGAAAACAACCAGACCGAGATCCAGAGCCAACAAGGCACATAAGAAGACAAGGTAGATCGTTTGCTGAGGTGGTCAAGGGCGCAAAAACAAACGAGGACGTCGAATCTGGGGAGACAAGCAAAACAGTGGATGCATCGGCCCCTATGAGAAAAGAAATAAAGATGTTGTCCAACTCGGAGTCAAGAGTTGCCATGCAGAATACCTTGGTGGGGAAAGTTGAAAACTTCCAAGACCTAATGAATGTGAAAGCTTTCCAGGAGGTAGAAGGATGCCCATCAATAAATCTGCGATACTTGGGGGGTCTAAAGATGTTGCTTGAATTCGGGAATGAAGCGGAAAAAGAAGAGTTTTTGAATAACGGGAAGGAGATATGGAAACCATGGTTTAAAGAGGTCTGCAACTGGGACGCAGAAGAAAATTTCAATGAAAGAATTGCATCAATAATCATTCAGGGGGTTCCTCAACATGCATGGTGTGAGGAAGCTTTCAGCATTATTGCTAAAACATGGGGGGAGGTGGTAATACCGGAAGAATGTAATATAGACTCCCCAAATCTGGCGTTTGGCAGAGTTGGCATCCTCACATCGCATCCTGGAATCATCAGCACAGCCATCAAAATATCAGTGGACGGAAGAAATTATACAATTAATATTATGGAGGATATTTTCGAATCCCTGAAACTTAGTCCAGTTCTTGCGGTGAACGATTTCTATCAAAGGATGTCCTGGTGGGATGAAGACAGTAAAAGTGAAAACGGCAGCATTAACAGTGAAGCTTCGATCCAATCCGATGCAAGTCTCCAGTCCCCGCAAGTATCACCGGCAAAATCTCAGCAAGCAACGGATGTTCCTCCGTCATCGTCTGGGAATGGGCGGAATCAGAATCATAATGGAGAAGTGGAAAAGTCGCGCAGCTTGCCGGCTGATGAAATCCCTAAAACCCGTAACCCGATGGAAGAAAATAATGAAGAGGTATCACCATTCTACCCGGATGTCGGTCAAGTATCACCCGGATCCGGTCCAACGAATATCCGACATAACGGTCAGGCCCAATCCCCTCCCTCCTATAATATCTACCAGCCCACTTTCCCATTGGACCTAAATAGAGCCCCATCTAATTCAATTCCATCTGGATCCATCGAACTAAGCCATGGTCGCAACCAGTCAAGATTAACTCCCTCCCCAGATAGAAATTCCAAGGAAATCCGCTCTCCCAACAATGCGCAATCAGTTCACGACTCCCCCCAGCAACCTGAAAGCTCACAGAATCAGTCGGCCGATTCGAATGCCACCTCAATGGAAGTGCTCAAGACCATCAATGTCGGAGAATCAGTTGGTTTTCATGTAAGTAACCACTCTGACCAGCTTAGACAGTTGATTAAAACACGTGGAGTAACTATCATTGATCAATGAATATCTTCTCCAATAATGTGCGTGGAGTCGGGTGTGAAGTCAAGCGGGGCTGGCTAAAAGAGTGTCGCATCAAACATCACTCTTTCTTCATGGGATTACAGGAAACAAAATCTAAGGAAATTCTAAATAACCTAGATAAACAAATTTGGGGCTCTCCAAATTTCAAATGCGAGGTTATTGATCCGGATGGGCTCTCAGGTGGAATTGCATCCCTTTGGGATCCGTCTTTATTCCAAGCCTCTGAATCAATCAAAGGTGATGGTTTCCTTGCAATAAAAGGCGTTTGGCTCAGATTGAGGAAGTCTTGTTGTTTCGTTAATGTATATGCCCCCCAGGAGCCTGCAAGGAAAAGATCCCTGTGGAATAGCCTGGTCGGGCTGGTAAACTCAGACTCGGAGGCATGTTGGTTCATTTTTGGCGACTTTAATGTTGTTCGGCTGCCAGAGGAAAGGTTGGGATCTGCGTTTTGCCATAGCAGTGCATTTTACTTCAACGAGTTTATCCATACTCTTGGTCTTCTAGAAATCAAAATGGGGGGGGGGGGGGGGCGCAGATTCACGTACATGAACACTACTGGTGACAAACACAGCAAGCTGGATAGGTTTCTAGTTTCTTTAAATTCCCTAAATGCCTGGCCAAACTTAAATGTCATTGCCCTGCCTAGAGTGCATTCAGATCATTGTGCATTAGTGCTATCAGCCTCACAAGCTGATTTTGGTCCCACTCCTTTCAAGTTCTATAACTCATGGCTCGAAGATCCTAACTTTGGAAAAATTATAGGTTCTGGATGGGCATTAACTAACTGCTCCAAACGCCAATTACATCTATCCCCTCTCTCGCTGGTGGCAAACAAACTAAAGACCCTAAAGGAACACATCAAAAATTGGAGGAAGGAGGTGAATCGGAAAAAGAATAGGGAATTGGATGAGCTTACAGCCCAAATAAATGAAATCGAACTCTTGGCTGAGAGGGGGATGGTAAACAATGAATTGCTTAATACGCGCCAAAATGCTCATCAAAAAATCATGGAAATCAAGGCTGGGTGTATCAAGGATCTGAAACAAAAATCCAGAGCAAAATGGGCGCTAGAGGGTGATGAAAATAGTGCATTTTTCCATGGGTTAATTAACAAACACAAAAGAAGTCAACGTATAAATGGCATTAAGGAAAACGGCTTCTGGATCACGGACCCGGTAGACATCATGACGAGGGCTGTTAAGCATTTTGCACGCAGATTTGCGGAACCCACGAAATCGCGCCCTAAATTCATCAACGCAAATTTCAAGAAGCTACCCCTCTATGCAATTGAGTCCTTGGAAGAACCTTTTTCATTTGAAGAGATCAAATCAGCAATCTGGGCGTGTGGCTCGGATAGGGCTCCCGGGCCCGACGGTTTCTCTTTTGCTTTTCTAAAGAAACACTGGGAGATAATCGGCTGTGATTTCTACCTGGCAGTTAAGCACTTCGAAGCCACAGGGCTCATTGATGAAGGATGTAATTCATCCTTCACTACCTTAGTCCCAAAGATCCAAGATCTAATCACCTTAAACGACTTCCGTCCCATCAGCCTAATCGGATGTCTATACAAAACAATCTCAAAGGTTCTAGCTGAGAGGCTAAAAAGAGTAATCCATCATGTGGTCAGCAAAGAACAAACAGCCTTCATAAAGGACAGAAACATCCTAGACGGGCCTTTAATCCTCAATGAAGTAATTAGCTGGTTAAAGAAGTGCAGAAAGAAAGCGTTCATATTCAAAGTTGACTTTGAAAAAGCTTTCGATTGTATCAGCTGGGATTTCTTGGATTCAGCCATGCAGCAAATGAATTTTGGTGACAAATGGAGAACCTGGATTCGTGGATGCTTATCTTCAGCAAAAATCTCGGTGCTTATTAATGGCGCAGCAACAAAGGAATTTAGAATGGAGCGGGGGGTAAGACAGGGAGACCCACTATCCCCTTTTTTATTTATCATAGCTGCTGAAGGACTACATGTAGCACTTGAATCGGCAAAGGAAAAAGGTATTTACAGTGGCGTCCAGCTCCCTCATTGTGGCCCAACAATCTCGCATCTACAATATGCTGATGATATAATATTTTTGGGGTCTTGGTCGATGGAAAACATTAAAAACCTGATTAGATTACTACGGTGTTTCGAACTAGCATCGGGGCTCAAGGTCAACATGTCAAAGAGCAAAATATACGGGCTTGGGGTTCAAACCTGTGAATTGGATTTGGTTGTTCGTAGCTTCTGCTGCTCAATCGGTGCATTCCCGATCACATATTTAGGTCTCCTAGTTGGTGTGTCAATGGCTCGCGAAACTCATTGGAAGCCCATTATCGAAAGATTCCAAGCAAAACTCTCGAGATGGAAAGCCTCCACCTTGTCGTTCGGGGGTAGGTTGACACTATGCAAAACTGTTCTAAGTAGCCTGGGTTCCTTTTATTTTTCGTTGTATAAGGCCCCTGCAAAAGTGATTAAATCGCTGGAAAGAATTCGGATGAAATTTTTCTGGGGTGGGAATTTGAAAGCAAGCAAAATGGCCTGGGTCGCTTGGGAAAAAATTCTAGCTTCCAAGGAAAGAGGGGGGCTCGAGGTTGGAAGTTTGAAAGCACAGAATATTGCCTTAATGGGTAAATGGTGGTGGCGATTTAAAACCAAACCGGACAGCATTTGGGCCTTGGCAATTCAAGCCATTCATGGCTCGGAGGGTGGTTTGGCTCGACCAATGGTTGTTAGAAGAAGAAGTAGCTGCTGGGGCTCGATTGCTTGCCTGCCTAAAGTTCTAGAAAAAGATGAGGTGCCGTTTTCCCCATTCTTCCAATACTCATTAAATTCTGATGGCTCATACAAATGGTCTTGGTCTCTTGAACACTCGGGTGTTTATACTGTATCCTCGCTACGTAAGTATATCGATAACAGGTCCCTGCCTCGAAGTGATGCTGTTTGGAATTGGAACCCACTTGTTCCGGGCAAAGTAAACATTTTAGCCTGGAGAGTCAGTCACAAAAGGCTGCCATGCATGGAGAATCTATTTAAGATTGGTATCAGCTCTTCAGATATATGCCAATTGTGTCATGAAGCAACAGAATCAGTTGACCACATTTTTGTGGGCTGTCCGATTTCAAAAGAGGTATGGGAGCAGGTGTGTCGATGGTGGCAGCTACTGGGAAATTACCCCAACAATATTATGGATTTGCTAAAATGTAGAGAGTCTTTAATGGGTCATAAGAGATTGGAAAGGATTCATGAGGTTATAATGCTGGTATTTTTATGGGTAATTTGGAGATACAGGAATAATAAAGCGCACAGCTCAAACCAAAATACTGGCTCAAAATCGACTCTGCCTTTCGAGGTACAATCATTAACGTATCTTTGGATAAATGCGAGGAACCGGAAGGGCAGGAAGCTTAGGTGGCTCGAGTGGTGTTGCGACCCAATTTTGGAATGCTATAGCATGATGTAGCCAAATTTCTCTTTTTTGTGTTCCAGTCCTTCTTCATCTTCATTTTATGTTTTCTGTTTCTTGTTTTTATGTTTTTTTCTGAGACTATGTGTATATCCTAGCTCCTGGCTAGAGTTATTTTTAATTAAAGCTGCCGTTCAAAAAAAAAGGAAGCGAAGATCTATTTTATTATTCAATTATTTCGAGTGATACATTGGGAACCCTAGCTACATATATTTATAACCGAAAACCCTACCAACTATAGGATCGGCCCTATATACAAGTAAACCCAAAATAACCGAGCAATTCAATTTTGCCATTCGGGACTCTTCAGTTTGAGTCATGTCATAATTCATTCAGACCACCAGATTCCAAGTCACACTCTAAAAATAACGGATATATTTTATATGATTGTTACACAGTCGTTCTTTTGGATCACAAAGAGAAGTTGTAGGTTTAAACTCAATTATGTAGTTTGGTTGCACAACCTTATTAAGACTATATATATATATATATATATATATATATATATATATATATATATATATATATATATATATATATATATATATATATATATATATATATATATATATATATATATATATATATATATATATATAAAGTGAGTATACCCAAAGGTATATAAGATTATATACCCATTCCTTAAAACTGTGTCGTTTTATTTATTTTTTTCCTAAAAAGATGAAAATATCAATTATTTTTCCGATGAGCATCGTTCAACATCACGAAAACATGAAAAACCACCTGATGTCGAAGATCTTCATGCAAACTCTCTTTTATTCGATTTTCTGAATTCATTCCCAAGTATTTGGATTTAATCTGAACGATTGAACCCTCAGAAAACTGAATTGATGCTCGAATTCATTCCCAAGTGTTTTGATTTTCTGATGCTCGTCAATTCCATCTTATTCAAAAAATTTCCTCCATTTTGAAGTATCTCAGATTTATTTTATAAAACCCATTAATTTTCTTCAAAATCCCAGCAACAATCAAAGATTCCTTGAAAATTAATAATTTATTTTCTTACGTAAGTCAATATCAATATCATTAGGTTTAATTTGGATGAAACTGGTGTTTAGATATTGTGGAATTGTGAATGTTTAACTTCCATCCACCAGGTGTTTGACATAATGCCAACATGAACTGATTCATACATTTGGGACTTTGGTTGGTCTGATTAGAGTTTGAACCCCCATTAAAGGATTCACTGCACTATGATAATGATTATGACTTAAAACATGCTTCTATAGTTGCCACTTCAGATTTGTTTAAGAAAGTTGGCACTATTGTGAAGTTGGAAGTCTCACATAGCAAGAATATAGTTATTGATACTCCTAGCAAACCAGAAGGAAGGTCTCATAGTCATGGGGACTTATGTGATGTTAAAATGGATGCAACTGCAAATCTGCCTAATCTAATAGAGAAAGAAACTGAAAACGTAGAAACATGTGTCAAATCTAGTTTACCCGAGAGGTATCATTCAAAAAGAGGTCCTTAACATTTTTTTTGAAAGATGGGTCCTTAACATTCTGC